CGAGACGGATTTAACATTTATATTTCTCGTTTTTCTAAAGGATTGCCTCCCTTGGTGGATGTAATTGGCTTTTCTCTTATATTTTTAATTAAGGCAAGAGCGAGAAAGATATATGTGAGAAGAGAGAGAGAAGAGTAATATGTATTTATTTCTCTCAACTTTCATAATGAATTTATTGGTGTGGTGTGGCTTCGTGTTTTTTCTCTATTTTAAATTTTTCAACATTAATATGATGTTCTTTATTTCTGCTATTTTTACTTTCTTATTTGTTTCTCGACGATGTTTTACTCTCATCCTCAACATTGGCCGACTTTTTTTTCCTTCGCGGTGAGCATTCCTCTTAAGAGTTGTGACCCTTCATGCCGAATTTCCTTCGAGGATCTGTTAGATACATGTAGAGTACCTATATGAACATACACAAATATACTTAATCATAAAAATTTAAATTTAATTTACTAATTTCATCAACTGGCCCATAACTCAATGAACTCTTTCGACTAGTATATCATCACGTGATAGAATTCTTAGCAATGGGAACTGGGAAGGCAGTGATTCACTAAAAAAATCATAATAACAAACCAAAAAAAGTTATAAAGTTCACTAAAAAATTTATTATGTTAATTGAATTTTAATTAGTTTAATATCCATTAAAAGTAGCAAAAAATGGGCACTATAAATTGTGTTTGATATGTTACAAAAAAAAATTATTTGACTGGGCATGAATCTCAATGTAAATATGAGTCGAATGTCTCAAAAATTAAATTTGAGATCATTTGAACTCCTATTTCAATAAGATTATAGTCAAACTGACTTATAGAATATCTCAAAAAAACGAACCTAATGACACCAAATTCAGTCCAATCCAAGCCCAAATAAGCTCAAATCAATAAACCAAAATATTTTTTAATACTTCATAGCATTATTTGGATGATAAAAAGATATCCAATATGACATGCTTATAGAGTCGAATTGAGCGGTTTACGTAGGGGCGAAACCAGCCCTTCATCTTAGGGGGGGCAAAATTTTCTTAGTATAATAGACTAATATAAAAAAAAGATGACATAATTCAAAGTGAAATCATGTATTTCATTATGATAGGAGAATTGAAAATCATTACAATTTTATCAATCTATTTTGCATTTTTTGATAATATTGGATAACATCTTCATTGGGAATCAGATCAAATACATCTTTTTCAATATAAGGCACAAGACAATCGCTGAGCCAATCATCACCCATCCTACTACGCAATCGATGTTTGATAATTTTCATGGCTGAAAATGCTCTCTCCACCGTAGCAGTTGCAACTGGTAAGATTAATGATAAAGTAATAAGTTTGTAAACCAAAGGATCAAAGATCACTCAATTTTTACATCTCTAAGGTACTTAAATGCTTGATAAACGCTTCATGATCAAGAGAATTACTATGAGTTGTTCGATATAACATTTCAGATTTGCCCTTAATCTTCTTCATATTTACAAGATATGTCACTCCCAAAAAAATTATAAATAGGCATCCATTTTTCACACGAGGGGGAGGAGGAGAAGAGAAATCTAGGGAGCTCACTTCCCTTCTCCAATCAATGTCACGACCACCAAATCTCTACCCAGCCAACAATCGTCATCCGTCGTTGGACTTTCGCCTTTTCGTTTGTTGCCGCAAATCTTTTCCCAACCATCGACTGTTGTCGGACATCCGCTTGTTTGTTGGCTGCCACCAAATATTTTATCAACCACCGATCGTCATTAGACATCCACTTGTTCGTTGGCCGCGCCGCCAAATCTTTTTTCGACCACCAACCATTACTAGACTTCTGCCTATTTGTTGACTACCACCAGGTCTATAACTATCAGCGGACTTTTGCCCTTCCGTTGATTATTATTTGATCTCCTACCATCGACAAATTTATGGTAGACATTCTCGTGACTGCTGCCACCAAATTTCTAGTATTTGTCACTCAATAAAACTCAATAAAATTTTTGGAGTACTCATCTAAGGTTCAGCCAATTCTCAGATATATATTGTATTCATGGGCGGAACCACTACAAGCTTAGGGGGGGCAATTGCCCCCCAAAATTCTAATGTTTCTTTATCATTACCTGCTAATGTGCTGAACTTTCGTGTATGGTCAAAACATAAAATTTTTTCACTCTTCCGCAGCAAATTTCTTAGCCCCCAACAGAGTTAATGATAAGTGACTAGATTTAATATAAGATATAACTTAGAGTTTTGATGTTTGTGAGTTTGGTGTACTTTTCATAAGTAAAATTTGAACTTTTATGCCCTATACCTAATGAAGGAATATGCTTGTAAATTAATTTTTTGAAGAAATATATTATAAAATTTATATAGATTAAATTAGTTTTTTTATAAAAGATAAATTATTTCATTCATAGAATAATTTTGAAAGTAAAAATATCTAAAATGAGTTAAAATATATTCATATTCAAATTCATGATCAAACTCGTTTAAATCCGGTTTGAACTTGATTAAAATCTAGTTCAAATCATGTTCAACCCGAAGAGCAAACATGTTGCCATTCAAGACGGGGGAAGTTTAAAAGAGAAATCACAAAGTAAAGGTATTGACAAGAGTGGCAATGTGTGACAAGATCGATGGTATATCTAAGAGAGGATATATTCGCAACGGGAGCTCGCTGAGGGATGACACCGATGAGATCAACAGTTTTTGAAGGAGAGATGGGTTTGTGATAGGTGCTCCTTGGGAGATGGGGTTGACAAGACTGACGGATGTAGAGGATAGAGGTATTCGTAATATGTACTTGCTGGGAAAAGACGTTGATAGGCCGACGATATGTAAAGAAGAAGTGAGGTTTACGACTAAAGCTTTAAAATAAAATTATCAATGGGAGCATTGTTTGTGAAAGGGGAAAGGGATTTGCGGCTCTCTTGTAATATTTGAATATACTCAAACCCATGTTCAAGCCTTGCTCAAATAACATTTAAATTTAGTTCAAATTTAATTTGAATTAGGTTCAAACTATATTCAAATTTGAATATATTCCAACCCATTTTAGATAATTTAGTACATATGGCAGCCGTCATTGGGGTAATTTGGTCCAACTTAAATTTCAAATATGTTAAAATGAATTAAAAAGAAAATATTGTCAGATTAATCTGACACAAATTTTATGTTGTACTTTAAAATTATTATATTTTAATATTATATGTATAAAAATTATATTATACTTTAAATAATTTTTTTTTAGTTTTAGTTAATAAGTCAGCTCATCCAGTGTGTTGGTTAGGAGCTTTGACTACTAAACAAGATGTGTTGGATTTGAAGCTTACATATATGATGTATACATGAGTTTAGCTTAATGACTCAAATCAAATGTCCCAAAAAAATATTTAATATAAATTGTATAAAAATATTTTGATATTACTTATATTGATTAAATAAAATTATAATCAAAGCATCAATGAAACTATAATGTGATGTGATTTAAATATATAAGAATTTATAGAAGTTGTTACCTATATTTTAGGGTTTGTTTGGGACGACTTTCTTAATGTTTTATTTTTAGACGATAATTATAATCCAATTTTGCTACTTTATACTGCTATCTTGTTGCTATTAAGAAATTCTATGCGAGGAAGTTATTCTTTATAATAGTTTTTTTAAAAAAATAATTTTTTTACAACATCATTATAAAACAAAATCTTAGAATATGATCAAAATGGATACAAAATATATTTTCCAAGTCAAGTTTTAATGGTCAGAGTAAGATAATCCATCAAACAGTGTTGATTTTGTTAAGAATCAAACACTTTTGACTTGACCTAAATTTAGCCAAAGCTGAAATCAAAATCTTTAATAATGAATTTTGGCTAGTGTAGCACACATAAAGGCCTCGTTTGGCGGAATAATTATTAGGTACGGACATCAGACGTAGCTCTACATCCGGAGGCCAATAACATGTCGCCACGTGCTCTTACTCTTTACTGCGCGGGCCGACGATCTGACCCGGACCTGAACCTTGTATTGCTATGTTCGGGTATTGCTAGGTATTGCTAGGTATTGCTCGGTATTGCTAGGTATTGCTTGACAATAACGAGAAATACTGCTCTGTCAAGACTAATACCTAGCAAAACCAGGATATTGCTCGGTATTGCTCGATATTGCTAGGTATTGGTCTTGACAGAATGGTATTTCTCGTTATTGCTCAGCAATATCGAGCAATACTTAGCAATATCCCAGTCTGCACAAATCAGCCAATACATAGCAATCCCGGGTCCAGTCCGGGTAGGGTCGTTGGGCTGCGCGGTAAAGAGTAAGAGCACGTGACACCATTTTATAACGTAGAGCTACATCAGGACACCGAACCTAATAAAAATTCCGTTTGGTGCGACTTTTTAAGAGTTTTTTAAAATAATTTTTTAGTGCAATATAATAGTAAAAAAGTATTCGGAACCAAGACTCCAGATCAGTTTGTGAGAGCTGCAAATTCTATAAAAATATTTATAAAATTGTTATTAGAAAAAGTAATTTTTTTAAAAAGCGTTTGGCCGGCAATTTTGAAAAACAAAATAGTAAGAAAACTGTGCAACCTGGCTTGTGCATTCTAAATGCTAAACAAATGCCACTAGCATACGTTCCAGGCTCTTTCTTCTCTGCAACCCAACACAAAAATGGCGATGCAGCGACTAAGAAGGTTCTTCGTCATCTCCGTTCCCTTTAACACCATCCCAAGGGCTATAGCTCCTTACACCGTGGATAGAAGCGCATATGGATTTGTTATGAATGGCTACTCGCCGTCCCTGATTCTCAGTGAGGGATTTCTCATAAAATTTTTCTTCATAGAAATCGCCAAGAAAGATCCGTTGAGCTTGTCAGAATCCTATCGTTAAAGTTTGTACCAAATTCCAACCAAGAAGCATTTTAAACATTTCCTTCACTTAAACACTAATAACTAATTCCATTCTCCTATATATATTTACATAAAGAATTCGCCTATGGTAAATTCGAGTAAGGCCCAATGTCCCCATCAATCGCGTTGCTGCTTCTCCTAATGCTGGGCGGCGGCGGCGCCGCCATCGCATTTGCATTCCCCTTCCCCCCGCCGCCGGCGATCCCCTCCAACAGCACGTTAGAATACATCGACCCCACCCTCCCCCCTCTCCATCCCACCCACAATCCCAAATGCTCCATTACCATTCTCCAACACGACTTCGCCGACACAGCTGGCGCTCCGCCGGTCTCCGTTCCATACTACCCGCCGGCGGACTGCCCCGCTCCCTGGTCCCGCGTCGTCCTCGAGCTCTCAGGCTCGGCTTCGGATATCCAAAAGGATCGAATCGCGGCAATCTGGCTCTCCGGAGCCGAGCTGCTCCGCACCTCCACTCCCTTCCCCCTTTCCCCCGGCGTCTTCTGGCGCGTCCAAAAGGACATTACCCGGTACACCTCCCTCCTTCGTAGCCCCAGTCCGGACGACAACTCCACCGACGCCGAAGCCGCAGCCGCCGCCACCGCCACGATATCCATGATGCTGGAGAACTCCAACGCGTCCCTCCCCGGCGTCTACTCCGTCAACATCTCCCTGCACTTCTACCGCGGCGCAGTCGCCCAATTAAACTCTCATCCGATAATCAAAGGGTTGTATCGCGAGCCCGCCGACCTCATCCTTCCCATCTCCAACGAAGTTGGAGAATGTGGACCAGGGTACTGGTTCAAACTCCATAACGAGTCCGACGTCCAGTTAACATCGATTTCCATTCCCAACAACACGTACCGCGCCGTTCTCGAGCTCTACGTCTCCCACCACGCCGACGACGAGTATTGGTACGCTAATCCCCTCCGCTCCACTGAAGAAACCAAGCTCATGTCTTTATCTTCTCCCTTCCGCCCGAAAGCCAATGGCGGATTTAGACAAGTAGAGCTGACCATCGACAAGCTCTACGCCGGCGCGGTAGTTCCATTCCCAGTCATCTATCCCGGCTCCATCAATCCGTTCTTCTGGGCCCCAGTCGCCGGAATCGCCGCCTATGACCTCCCTTCATACGACCTCGACCTAACTCCCTTCGTCGGCCTCCTTGTCGACGGCCGGGAACATGAATTCCGTTTAATCATCCGCGACAGCCAGCCGTTTTGGCTCGTCTCCGGCAACCTTCATCTCTGGCTTGACGCGTGGTCTGACAGAGTGGAAGGCGCGTTAGTGCGGCACAGAGTACCTCCCCTGCGACTCAGCCGGCAAGCCGATTGGCGAGGGAGCGACGGCAAGTCTTCCATCGACGGGCAAGTCATCGTACGATTCGCTGGTTGGGTTAGTTCCTCAAAGGGGAATGTATCGACGAGCATAAGACAGAGGTTAAAGTTTAAAAGTAGGGTAGAAATACAGAGGAAAGGGGTAGTGAAGCAGGCGGTAATGGAGGTAAAGTCGAGGACGGACGTGAGGGCGAGCTTGAACAGGGGTGTGGTGGGGAGAGCGAGCGTGAGCGTTGAGGCACCGTTGATGGTGACGACTGAGAAAGCGAATGGAGGCGGAGGGACAGTGTTGGAGAGGACGAAGATTTTCCATGCAATGACAGAGGCGAGGAGTGTGGGTGGGAAGGGGGAGATGGAGTTTAGTGAGGTGGCGGATAAGCAGGATTCAGAAGGATCAGTGTTGGTTGGAGAGGAAGGAATGGTGTGGGGGAGTGGAGATACGAGCTCTCTGTACAAATTTAGGGATGAGAAAGCGTGTTATTTGAGGACGGTGAAGGTTGTGGGAGGGAGAATGAAGGAGGATGTGGAGACAGCGTCCTGCGCCGGCGCCGCCGTGGCTGAGTTGTAGGTGGCCGGAGATGACGAACGTATAGTGTGTTTGAGTTCCTAGCTAGCTAGTTATGTGCAAGATCGTCATGTATTTGAGTTGGCTTTGTACGCTCAGATTGATCCGTTAGTATCAGTCTGCAAGTATTAAGAGTTTGAAGTCCAGAACTATAGTCTATATATTTAACCGTCATAAACAGATCATAAGACTTCGCTTAGACAGGCTTTTTTATGGTTTTCTAAAATAGTTTTTTAATAGTAAAAAAATTTAATTAAAATTTTTTTTTACTAAAAAATTATTTTATAAAACAATAAAAAATCATCCTAAACGAAACCTAAGTATCTTAATTTGAAGTTATGCATTTTCTAAATTTTTAAATAAATGATATATTATAAATCTCTCTTTTAACAATATTATATGAAAGTTCTTCTTTGACATTATTTTCAAATATTTTATCCCATAAAATAAATTACACAATCTTTCAATTAGATAGGCGATTTTCTTAGGAATGATGAATACCACAACCAACAAATACCATTAGTTATAGACCAAAAAGAGTATAAAATACATCTTTTAAAAGATCAAACATAAAAATAATTGAGAAAAAAGAAATTCAAAGAAATCTCCAAAGAGAATAACTAAGGCTTTAAGATCATCTTAAACCGAAAAACTTAGTTTCCACTTCAAAATACAGTACTTCAAAATGCAAAATTAATCTCCAACCAAATTTTATTTCATAACAAAAAAAAAATATTCCGTGTATATTTTTTCTCAATAACATGCGCTAGTCTTTTTCCCATATGCTTTCTCTGTTTCTGCCAACAATACATTTGAATTGTGCGCCTTTTGCCATTTGATTGGAGAAATTCGCGGAAGTCAAACAGAATATATATAGAGTTCAGTTTGAGATGACCTAAGGCAATTGCCTAACGGTCATTTTCCATTAAATATTGTGCTTGCTCAATCCGCTAGTAATGAAAGAAGTTGGTCTTTCTTACTCCAACTCACTAACGGCATATTTTTTTTCTTTCCATATAGAATTCCATATGAAATTTCGTCACGTTAAGAACCACCAATGAATACTGATTAGGGCCCTTGGTTTATGACCTAACATTCAACCAAGCTTAACTCAAGGATTAAAATAAATTAATTAATTAAAAAAAAAAAAAACCTTACCTCAAGGATGTTCTATAAATCTCATGCAAATGAAACTTTTAAAACATACGATTCATTTCCTAAACCTTAAAAAAAAAAAAAAAAATGCTCTATAATAACTCACAAAATAGTTGAACAAAAAATTCTACATCGATGTGGCGTATAATATAAGATTTTATTGCAAATAGATTTCTAAGTCACCAAGTAAATGCTGAAAGCAAAAATAATTGAAGAATGTACTTTTATCGAGCATTAAATCTTATGGAATATAAACACCCCCGATATATCTTTGGAATATATTTAAAAAAATATTAAAAAAAAAAACCCATGAAAGACCTACGTGTTAAAAAATAAAAATAACAAGTCCTTAATAGATCAGAAGCTCGCTAAAAGGACAACAATTAAAATAAAACTTAAAGAGCTTTGGATCCCACATAATACAATGAAGAGAATAAAATTGAAATCAAAAGAATCAAATAGACACATTAGCAAAAATAAGATCAACACGTCCTAGCCAATCAAAGCAGCACTAGCCGCGAAGAGCATATCGATCAACCCGATATTTGAGCTGGTTAAGGCAACGAACACACCAACAAGCAACATGAATCATAATAAAAGAGAGCAGGATAGTAGAGAAACCCCACTCAAACTACATGCCATACAACTAACAAAAAATGACCAGAAACAACATACAGCCGGCCATATTTTATGGAATATACTTTATTCATGAATACATCTTATATTAGGGATGGAAAAAAATCATGCGATGAAGCAAATAAGAAAGTAAAAACAACGTAGAGTAAAAGAACACTAGCATTTAAAGTAGAAAAACTCAAAATTGGAAAAAAAAAAACCATGATTTATGTTTTGTTTGCCAATTTTTTTTACTATTTTAAAGTAATTTTTTTAGAAAAAAAAAATTTTGAATTACAAAATTTTGAACTTGAAAGTTGTTTTAGAAAAGAGTAATAAAGCTATTTCAAATGAAGCTTTAAATTAGAAAAGAGTAATAAAGCTATTTCAAATGAAGCTTTAAAGTATATATATTAATTATAATATACGAGAAATAGAAGAGAAAGTGATCGCATCAAGAACTCCAAATCCATTAATAGTAGGGACAAGTTTAATTTCATTATATAATACTTAATGGAGTTGACTCGACTTAATTTGAATAGGAACACATTATGAATTTAATACCTATATAAAATATTTTCAAAAGTCTTCTACTTTATTTTGTTGAGAATCAAGGGAATTTTCTTGTAATGCTACAAGATTTTGTTCTTTTATAAGATTTTTATTTCATCTATTTTTTTTAATTAGTTAAAATTTGAAGCATCTAAAATATAATTTTTGAATAATGCATAAAATAATGGGTTTATCTAACAACCAAGGAGTAGGGCTGTCAAAATCGGGTCACGGGTCAGGTTCGGGTCCAACCCGAAATTGACCCGACACTGTTCAACCCGACCCGAACCCGACCCGTTTGCCGTTTTTGCAAACGGGTTGGTTTTTCGAACCCTAACCCGACCCTCTTCGGGTCCGGGTCAAACCGAACCCGACCCGCTTCGGATGTATTTCAATAAATTTTTTTATTTAATTCAATTTATTTAAATTTAAATCAAATTAAGGTAAGATTTACTTCAATTAGTTTAAAATAAATCAAAATTAATTTAATTTGGACAACATTGTTTATAATTTTTTGAAATATCATTTACTTATTTCATTAAAATCCTTTAAAACTCTTTTAAATTAATTAAAAATGGGTCAAATCGGGTTGATTTCGGGTTTTCGTGTCAACCCGAACCCGAAATTTTCGGGTCGGGTTTTCGGGTTGGGTCAAATGTTGACAACTCTACCAAGGAGAATGTTTCTATCCACCAATCTAATAGATTTATGCTTCGTTTGGAATGACTTTCTTAATATTTCATAAAACAACTTTTTAGTATAAAAATTAAAATTTTTATACTAGAAAGCTGCTTTAAAAAGCAAAAAAAGAGTCGTCCCAAACAAAGCCTTAATAGTTATTTTAGGGCATCATTGAGTGGTTGTTAATACTTCACACTATAGATAAGGCCTACACAAAACACCTATTAACAATTATAACCTAGCTTGTCTTAGCAACCTATAAAAAGATCTATTTAGAATATTAATTTAATATACAAGATCATCTTCTTCTTTGTTTTTTTAACCAAAATATTATTCATTAATAAAAGATAGGGATACAACAATCAATACCAACAGCCGGAAGTACAATACAATAAGTTCAAAAACTACAAGAATTAGTAGGGTACAAAGCGAAAAGGGACTCAGTACGAAGGTTCTCATACACCAAACTTGTAGTCAAACACGGACCATCCTAAGGTGCCAGTAAAGGATCAGGGTCAAGAGGCCACAAAGCAAACGAACGAGGCACCCGGTTGCCAACCAGCCCAGCTAGCAAGGAAACAGGGGACCTCCTCATCATCGTCCGACACCATTCAAAATCCATGGAAGAAACCACAGCAGGGTTTATAGAAACCTCAATAGAAGGTTTATTAGGAAGGCCCAAATTCGTAGAAGTTAGGACAACAGCCTTAGGACGACAATTTCCCACAGCATGCCCGATACAACTACAAGAAGCACGAAATTATGGGAATTCATCCATGACAACTTGCTGGACATAACTGAGCTTCTCCGAACCTAACCAGACCTTATCCAGGTAGGATTTAGTGATATCCAACTCCACTACAACACGAGCTAAAGACGGTTTAGAACCCAAAGAGGTGGCAACATCAATTTTTAATGGTTTGCCAAAGATAGAGGCCAAACTATGGAGAATGTGGGGGGGGGAGAGAGAGAGAGAGAGAGAGAGAGAGAGAGAGAGAGAGAGAGAGAGAGAAGAGATGAGGCCATAGTTGGGGAAAAGAGACCCAAATTGGGGTGATCGGCGACTCAACACCGACATCAACAAGGGGAGACCACTGGGTAAGCTTTATGTAACAATTATAAACCAGATACTATCTATAGCAAAAAATACGACAATAATCAAGGTCATTTGCAAGCTTGATAAAGACATGAGACGAATCCAACAATGTGACCGAAACCTCCCCATTTAGCTTGAGATTGAAAAAAAAATCTACGAATGCTATCAAGAGACGGTCGTTTGGTAGGAAACAAAGCAACCAAAGAGAACTGAAAAGGAACGGCTAAAACCTGAATTTCCTGATTAGAAATCCAAATGTAAGGCAAACCACGAAATAAGGATGCCCTAAGCTCAAGAAATTCATTAACGGAAGAAGAACATGAAAGAACATCCAAATGAAGAAGGCGAATCCACTAAAAAATCAGGGTCGCAAAGCTTTGGCGCCATCTCGGCATGTGCCGGACGAAAAAAAAAAACCACCAATAAACCAAAATCGAACTAGCAAAGAAGAGAAAACTTCCCTGGTAACGAGAAGAAAGCCAGCCCCGCCAGAGAGGGACCCGACAATCACGAAGGAGAAGCTATGGCAAAGCCCTAGCGGAGCAGCCGAAACGAAAAAAGATTTGCCCTTTTAACATGAGTGTTATACAAGATCATCTTCTATGGCTTTAATTTACATCTTTAGAGATTGAAGCTTCATTTGAGACTACTATTTCATTATTTTTTAAAACATAATTTTAATAAAAAATTAATAATTTTGTATTTAAATTTTATTTTAAAAAGCAATAAAATAATCATCACAAATGAAGCCTCAATCTCTAGCTCGAAGCTCCACTGAAGCATGCAATAAGAGGATATCTCTGACATACGCACTAATGTCAATATACATCACCTAATGATTCTATAAGAAGTTGAAAAAAATATCATTTATTCATCTTTGACTGCTTAAACATAACTCCGAACA